TTAAGGTTAAAATACAAATTATCTGGTTTTAACACAAAAGGAAAGAAAAGGGGGTTTGGGGAGGAGGAGGGAGATAAAGGGACAGCAGAGAGGAAGAAGAAGAGGAAGGGAGGTATGTGGAATGATGCCTCCTCTGAACATTGCCAGAAAGATTCACAGATTTTCAGGGGTATCCAGCCTTTTGGCATCTCTGGGCCACACTGGAGGAAGAAGAGTTGTCTTGGGCCACACATGAAATACACTGTGATATGTAATCATAAAAAAAAATCTAATAATGTTTTACGTAAATTTATGATTTTGTATTGGGCTGCATTCATAGCCATCCTGGGCCACACGCAGCTTGCGGGCCACAGGTTGGAAACCCCTGGATCATCTTTTGCTGGAGAAACCAGAGTAGCACGACGAACAGCCATGGGAATGTGCGCTCTGTGCATCAAAATTCACTGGACTTTCTGGGTCTCTCAAAATGCCTATTCACTCTCTGAATCATATGCAGTAACTGAAAGATTTGCTTTTAATATAAGTAGAGGAGAACAAAACAAGGAAAATAGTGCCACTCTGTATCCCTACGTAATTCACAGGCATGTAGTCTGTTAATAATTTTAATGCTTAAATTTTATTTTGAGAAGAACAGAGTTTTCAAGTCTATTAAGTAATAATATCCTTTTACTTATTATAAGGACAACCTTAATTTACTCTCCTTGAAATTTGTACAATTATTTTACTAGTTTATTTACTGGGTGTGCAGGGGAAGCAAAGGTTGAGTTTTATAACATATTTTGTGCCTTAAGCAAGTTTGAGACTATACACTCATATTTATAAAATTATTTGTGGTTTATAAGAAATACTTTACTGTATGAGGAATATTTATACCATTATTTCAATTCTGATTTTCCCATGAACATTCATAACAATTTAAATTGCAAAAATCCTGCTTACAAACAACTTTTCAGGAACACACAAACTGAATAAAGCAAGACATACCTAAATTACTAAGCAGCCTGCTCCTCAACCATCCAGCTTTAAGCATCTTTATTTAGACTATTCCCTTCATTACAACGGGGCTGACTTGCTGTCAGATTACATTGCCAAGTCAAGAAGAAGGGAAATACCACGGACAGCTGCTTTCTAGGCCAATGACAGCCTAGCACCATAGCAGATCAACAGACCTCAGCAGCCAGCCACGCGCATAGCAAAATGCTCTGAAGCTCTGAAACTCCTCAGCTTCATATCCTTCAGGATTCAGACTTATTCCTAATCAGCTATGGAGAAAGTTTTAGTTGAGAATCTCAATCATTTATAAATAAAAATACCATTAAGACAAAAATCTCTACTTAGCAAAGATCTTTCTAAACCCCAGTTGATAGCCTACTTATTTCACGCAAAATTCTATGCAATAAAATTTTAGGACAACAAAGGCATTTGGAGGTTTCCTTGGAGTTTATAATAATATAAACTGAACTGTACTGTATATGAACTGAACTGTGTATGAACTAGGGCTTATAAATATTATAATATGTCAAATAATATCTGCCTCTAAGGGACAACATGGCCTGCTTAACTTACTGATTCACAGGGGTAAATTCCAACCTTCAAGGAATGTTTTAAATTCTCAAATTTGAAGTAACTTATTTTGATAAGGAATAAAACTAACATTTATTGAAAGCACAACTGCCAAGCACTGCGTTAGCTGCTTAACACTCTTCATTTAATAACTTTCTGAACTTTATAAATAGGTACTATTACTTTCATTAGTAGGCTCAGAGTGTTAATGTGACTTCTCTGCGTTCACAGGGCTTTTCACATTTATGGGGTTAAATCCCTTCTTTCACTGAGTCAAAGCCCAGGGTACCTTTATCATGTCATGATACTACACATTTTTTTTAGAAGGATAATATTATCACTAAAATAAATAATTATAAATAAAAAACACACAGGGTGAAGAAAATTAAATGGAATGGAAAACTATCACAACTATTACTTTATGAAAAAAATACCAGTTCCCATTTTTCCATATTTCACAGTTGTTCCATGACATATATCACCAATAAAAGAACCAAATTACAATTTTCAACTTGTCTATGAAGCAAGTAGTTTCAAAGATATTTCACTGACGAGAGTTCAGCAGAGCTGATGATTTTTTAGCAAGAACTTTTGATGATTTGTACGAAAGTATCTAAAATATGCTTCCTCTATTTCTCAAACTCCTATGCCCCATAATTGTGCAAATAAGACAATGTAGTGGCTCTGCATGAAGACATCCTTACTATTTTGCTTCCTAACTTCATGTAGAACACATTTCTCTCTGTGAAGACACCACTGAGGGCTGCATTTTGGCTTAGGGTCTTCTTTTGGAGTGTCCTGATGATATTAGAAGTATTGACTTCTGTAGGAAAGGTGGGGTATACAGCCAGAAATCAACTTTGCAGATCTGAGAATTATATGGCCACACTCAAGGACTCATCTATCTTTAGGGCATCTTATGTTTATAGTGCTAGGGGAGCAAAATCTCTGTAAGATTCTGAAGTCAGGAGAATGATAAAGACTAACTGCTGAAAACAAAAATTTTCAGCAATAATTCAAAACAGTGAAATTGACAAGGTAAAATTTCCTGAAGGAAATCACACACCATTATGTACTGTTCCACCTAAAAATGTATAACTATGTTCTAGCATTTTTGATTTACCAAACAAGCAAGCATTTTGAATACCAAATAAGACATAGTTATGTAGCCCTGGTTGGTGTGGCTCAGTTGGCTGGAGCATCATCACGGAAACCAAAAGATTGTGGGTTCAATTTCTTGTCAGAGCACATGTCTAGGCCACGGGTTCAGTCCCTGGTTGGGTCAGGGCACATACGGGAGGCAACCCACTGATTGATATTTCTCTTTCTCTCTCTTTCCCTCCCTCTCTCCCTCTTTCTCTACAGAATAAAAAAAAATTTTCTTAAGTCATTGCTATGTTTAAAAAATTATGTTTTCTTAATATTTATAATTAATCTAGTTAATGAAGACCAAAAGAAATAATACTAGTTAAAAGGGATAAATTAAAACTATATGGTGCTAAAAAGAAAATAATACATGAACACATTTGGAGGAAAATCAGAAACAGGAGTAACAGTCATGAATATAACCTCCTTCCTTTTTTAATTAGGTAAACCCAGAATCTCCAAATTAAAATACACATTCTATTAAGCATAGCACTAAATTATGGATTTGAATGACCATTAAGGAATATGAGCCTAAGTTTCTGACTTTTAAATGATCATAAAAATGACATAACAGTCACTTAACATAGCAGGTAAAAATCCTGCTAAAGCTACTTTAATGAATGGCTTCTGATTGATTAAATACTGTCTGTAAACTGTATTTAAAAAGTTATTCCCAAGTGCATGAAACCCGCCCCCAATCAGAATTCAAAATCCCCCTGCAATCTGAAATACACCATTGCATTGCCCTGCAAATTCCTTTTTCATAAATGTCACCAACATAATCTTTAGCTGAGCCTGTGTCTTAAGTTAATGAAGCTCCACTATGAGTTAACAGAACAAAAAAGTGTTAACATTCTCAAAAAGACATTTTACCCTTGATATGCCCAGGATATTTATAAGACACCAAATCATTTCCTTGCCTCTAAAAGATATGCTTTTCCCTTGGCATTTGTTCAGTACTCTCGTTGGGATAAACACAGACTGTTAATGCAAACCACTCAAACTACTAATCAGGCTTGAGGAGAGGACTTGAGGGGTCATCTTTTTGGCTACAAAATTAGAGAAGGGACAGGGGCTTCAGTGATGACCCCGTCTTAAGCCCTCAAGGATATATACTAAGTTATCACATTTGAATACTAATTGGCAAGTATATTGCAAAGTTACTTTTTCTTGCTATAGTTTCTAACAAACAACCATATCCTGAGTGAAACGTTAGAAAATACACAGTTCTCTTTTGCATGTAATAAATAGAAATATTACTGGTGGTTTCTTTGCTGCACTTTGCTTCCATTTCATGGGTGCTACAGAAATGATGGATGGGTCATCAAACTTGACCATAAAGGAATTATACTAAATTAGTATAGTGTTTTTCTTTCCACGCTGAACAAAATATCTCACCTTCCACTCAACATTTTGCATACATGGGAATTTTCCCAGATGTTAGTACGAAGTGTGCATATGTATTTTAGTTTTCTGTTTAAAATCACATTCAGAGACAACATTCCAATGTTAGAAGTCACATTTTTGCAGAACAATTTCTTTTATGCTCTCTACCAATTCGCTCACCATCTAAGTGGTAGCATGGCCGCTACTGTCACTAAAAATCCCTCAAAATTAATCATAAAAATATTTTGGGTGATGTTTATCATGGCATGCAAAATGGGCCATGGAGCTACAGAGGCAGGCAGCACGGCTTGCCAATGACTCTCTTTAATGGATCCCAATCAGCTCCTTGCTGAATGAGCTGAAGCATTATTGAGTGGATCAAGGACAGACATGATGCACTCCAATGACCATTTCTGCTAGGCCTTAGGCTGTTGAATGAAAGATAGAGGTGACACAAACAAAATATTTTCCTTACCCATCTTTAAAGAAATGATTCATAGTAATTGCCATGTGTGCATTTAAAATGAAAAAGCTGTACAACTCACTAGGCGTGTGCGCACACACATGCTTTCCCGTGAAAATTAAATTGCTCACAAAATCACTACATTACTTTCAGAAAAGAAGAGATAAATTATTGTGTTTTCTGAGTCTGCTCTGGGATACTTACGTTATCTATATTTACAAGTGTTTTACTCTGAAATAAATATGTTGAGAATTTAGTAAATATCCACAAGACTTCCCTTCCCACTCTATTTTTCTCACTGCCATGTTAGCCCGGCTATAAGAGAACTGTAGAAAGCAGCCTAATACCCTAATACTGCAGCCGAAAACACCATGTTTAAAAAATGGCAGATCTCAAAAACATAATAATTCAGAACATTAAATAAGTAACCACCACCACCAACCTTTGCTTGGGCCTCTGGTGCTGTCACCTTGACGACTTTATTGCAATTTATCATTTGCTTCACCCATCTTTCTACTTGGACGTTGAATTTCATGAAAACCACATAGGCAAAGTAAGCTGTTAAGAGAAGCAAGCTTTCCCACCACATGATGACATTATCCAGGAAAAATATGATCAGCATGATCAAGTCAATGATGTAGAAGGACACATCCCGAAAGAGTGGCCACCATGTCAGATTCAAGATTTCTCTAGAAAACAGAGCACACATGCCGATAACAAAGAGGATATTGAACACTGCTGAGCCCACAATGGTGCCTATGCCCACATTGCTATGGGCAATAAACACCCCTATGAGAGATGTGAAAAGTTCTGGGGCTGAGCCGCCCGCAGCCATAAAGGTGGCTCCAGCAACATCATCAGAGATGCCCAGTTTTTCAGTGATGACAGTCAGAGAAGGAACAAAGAACTCATCGCAGACAATGGCTAAGGCTATGAACATGTAGATCATACCAATGATATGGAGAACAATGGCGCCTTTTCTTCGCTGCTCGAGGGAAAAGATGTCTCTTGGGTAGTTTCCTTGGTCATGATCTGTGCTATTCTCATCTTTGTCTTCCTGAGAAGGAGGTGGCTGTGGAGTATAATCCCGAATCTTGTCATTTAAATCTAAGAGAGTTCTCTGAAGGTAACCATGTGCTACCTTAGGGCCCTTTGCACCTCTGGCCTCTCCTGTACTCTGTGTCTCTGTCTCAGAAAAGGCACTGATTGAAAATGGGACAGTGCTGATGGCTACCAGGCCCATGAAAAGACCTAAGATTCGAACTAACTTCAGTTTCTTCCTGACATTATAATGTTTCCTGCAGCCAGATGGTGACTTATCTGAACACCATTTCTCTAGGAAAGTGATGGTGGTGCTTTGGTGGAGATCCATCCTGGGTCTTCTGGTGATGTGGTGGTCTTCCAATTGTAAGATCAACCAGATGGTTCTTTCATACTCTGCCTTGCTTTATAGTCAATGGTGTTTGTGAGGCACTTCCACAGTCAGGGATTCCTGTGCTTCACGGGGAATACTTTTGACATTTACACTTAAAAAAAAAAACAAAACAAGTTTAAGTAAATCATAAACTATGTCTTTTCCTTCCTTCCTTCCTTTCTTTTTTCTTTTTTTTTTTTTTTTTTTACAAAAAGAACTTTGTAGATATGATAAAGTCCTATCCTATAGCGGTGTGAGTTAACTCTTTTATGCCTCAGTTTTCCCATTTAAAAAATTAGGACACTTACAATGTCTAACACCAAAGATTGCTTTAAGAATGAGTTAAAGCACACGAAACACTAAGAATACAATGTGGAACATACTATAGGTACTTACAATAATGTATATACAAACTCAAACACTTGGGTAAAATTCAATATTTGGTGTAGAAAATGTAGATGTGTGCGTTACGTATAAAAATTTTATAGATGAACATCTATCAGTTGATTCCACCTTAAGTCATATAATAAATAACCCTCCTCCTCCAGTGCTAGAAAGATATCACTTCTTTTAGAACTACATACCTACTTGACAACAATTATTCACTGTTTTCTTTTAGTCCATTTACGTAATTCCAGATGCAGGTACACCTTTCTGATGTAATCTGTCATTTGGAAAGGGTTGAGTGTTGGAGGAGAGAGCAATCTTTTCCTGAACACATAAAGATATCAGGATCTTATTTTTTTCATGAAAAGCTTCTCCTATAACAGTTGCAGAAAAGTAGCCCTTGAAAAATTTAAGTTTACAATAGAATTTTCGACATGAACAAACTGTCTTCCTGGAACATCTAGACAATGCTTTCAGCTAAAGCTCATTTCTAAAAACAATCTTTAGTCATATTTGAAACAGACAACTTAGTAAATGAAATAACTCTTAGCAAGTAGGCTATTTCAAGAAACTAAATGTGTACTTCATAAACAATATGCAAATTGCAGCAATACCTCCATCCACAAGATCTGCCCAAAATAGTCCAGCACTGATTCTTCTAGTAGGATAGATATCCAAGCAGTTTTCATTCTCTATCCCACAGAGGAGATGGGTAAAATAACCATCAGACACACAGCTGATATTCTCAAGGTTTCTCTCCCTTTCTTTAAAAACATTTTTTGTTTTTCATTATCAACGATTTCACTTTAGAGACGTTCGCTGAGATCACCGCAGGTGTAAAATAAGCTAATTAAACACATACCAGTTAAACACTGAGATTAGCTAGAGCTCAGGTTTGCAGAGCAAGAGCACAAGTCAAACCAGGAGGACATGCTCTTATTGCTGAGATAAACCGCGCCTGTCAAAGAGATTCCCGGCTGGCCGGCAGATGTCTATACTTATAGCACGAATGATTAAACGACTCACAGCTCTCCGGGGACTGTCACAGACAGTGCTGAGCCAGCCAGCCGGGGCAACGGGCATAGACTGACTCAACTCCCAGGGTGCACTATCGGCTCCAGCCAGCGCCAGGCTGGACCTGCAAACCCACCGCTTCGCTCCATGGGAGCGGCCTCTGCCGGCGAAGAGCGCCCCTGGCTGCGCCCCAACTTCGCCTTGTGTGGTCCCAAACTTTCCCTGGTGGGTTAATAGGAAAATAAAACTAAAGGACAGACGTCCCATTAGCAAGCCAGGAGCTGAGATGCCGCTTGGAGCGTTGCTTGGCCCGCATCTCCCCGAATCGTTTGTGGGTATAGGTGGGGAAAAGAAGCACCGCTCCGTGCGCCCCCCACCCCGAGCCGGAAACAAGGGCAGTTGGTTGGGAGAAGCTGGGGCTCGGAAACCGCGCCCCAGAACGGAGAGAGTTGACTAACTCCTTGTGGGGCCTGGGGCACCCAGGTCCACCCCGGAGCCACCTGTGAGCCTGCGACGCGGCAACGGGATGCGCGCAACCAGGCTCCAGGGACAACGACCAATGCAGCTACCAAGCCTGGCAGAGGCTCGGCCTCCCACACTTACCGGAATCGACAGGAGGACGCGCACGCGGCAGGGGTCCTAGCGCTGTCCGCGCTCCGGTCCACCGCCTTCCCCAGCCCTCTACCACTCCGAGGCCCGGGCTCCGGCTTCTGCTGGCGCTCGCCCCCGCTCCTACCGGCCGGGGCAGGGTTCGGAAAGAGACTGAGCCGCGGCGAGCCCGGCGCGCCGCCTCTGGTGCTGCCCGGCCCCCTCCGGCCCCTCCCTCTCGGCTCTGCGCGGGGAGCGTGGCCACAGCGCGCCCAGCTCCCGCGTCCTGTCCTCCACGCCCCCTGGGAGCAGAGGCGACGCCGGCAGCCGTCTCTTAGGAGATTTCTCCGCAGTGGGAACTGGGGTCAGGATTTGCAGGCGGGCAAGGACAGAGATGAGAAATCGTACAGGTCGGTGTCGCACCTGATTCCCAAAGCCTGAGTGTGCTGCTAACTTTGGTGTCATCTATGCCGGGTTACCGCTTCCCTAGTTATCTGCAAAAAGTGACAACAGTCATATATTTCTTTAGAAGGTGATGTAATGTGTAAAGGTGGAAAAGATGTTGGGTGAAAAGGCATGAAGGCCTGCAGGGCTGTCTGTTCCTGGAGTCTCGGGTTTGGGTGGTTGGAACACTGAAGGATTATTTCATGTGTAATGCAACAGACCCAAGACACAGTGCCATCTTGAGTTACAGGGTTCATAAGCTGCTGGCTTCTGGCCTCCCAGCTCACTGCTCTTTCCTGCTCTGTTTGTAAAGCAAGAACCCGTTGACCACAAGAAAATGAATGAGTTTTTGGAGATTAGAGGCAAGAATCTGGGCTTAAGAGTGGAGGCAGATGAGACAAACCATTTCCTGAGGGACACCCAGCCCTGTGACCACCACCAAAACTGCCAACAGTAACTCCTGAGAAACCTTTGGAACTTTCAATGAAGATTTTCTATCCTCCTTACCCTCCACACTCGTATTTGCTTTCCACTTGTTTAAAGTTTTTTAAAATGCCTTTCTGGGACTGGGGGGAATGTGGGTCATACACAGAAAGCTCATACCCTATGAATTTGAGTACAATTCTATACTTAGACCTCGTCTACACTTACCCTCGATACAAGAAAAGCCTTAAATCTTTTTCTCCCATCAAAGTCCGGAACTTAAGACCATTATCTTGCTAAGGATTTCGAGGTCCTCTTTTGGAAGTTATAGGCTGAACCTTATCTTTACTTTTTATTTTGAAAAATTTCAGACATATACAAATGTAAGAAGAGAGCCCAATGAACCTACATGTGGCCACCACTCAGCTTGAACCTCATGGCCAATTGTTTCATCTATACTCCCTTTTTCTCACGCCATCATTTTAAAGCAAATCCCAGACATCGTATCATTTTGTTTGTAAATATTTATAGAAATCAAGGAAAGTATCAGACACTAGGGTTGTCAAAAAGACTAAAAACCAATTCAAATAAGCTCCCACTAGGCAAGGATGGGTCAATTCGAGCACCAAAAATTGGTAATTACAATGTTGCAAATACATCAAATATGATTATATCTACAAGTTCATAATGATTGGTCACTGCTGATGGATTAGAGAATAAACTCATTATTTTGAATTTTTTTTGTTTGTTTAAAAATCATGCATTTATTCTGTCCTTCTTGTACAAACTGGACCTCATGGTAATCAGTTAAGCTTTACTTTTAACTTGCCTTTGTCTTTGCTTTCTTGGTCTAACAATTCTAATCTTCCCTGATGCAATGGATGCTTCTGGCTATGTAGGGGTGGGGTAGGGCAGGAGAGATGTTGTATACAGGGTTCTGCTTAAAAGAAAAAGATTGTGCCCTGGATGGGTGGCTCAGTTGGATGAAACATTGTCCCACACACCAAAAACTTGTGAGTTCGGTTCCCAGTCAGGGCACATACCTAGGCTGCAGAGTTTGATCCCAGTCAGGGTATATATGGGAGGCAACGAGTGGATGTTTCTTTCTCACATCAATGTTTCTCTCTCTCTCCCCCCTCTTTCTAAAATCAATAAACATATCCTTGGATGAGGAGTAAATAAATAATAAAAGAAAAAGATCGTAATATATTTTTAAAAATATATCCCTATAATCATGTAACATTCCTCCTACTAGGATCTTTATAAATGTTATCCAGCTGTTTCCTCCTATACCCCAAAAATGACCTGGAGTCTCCACTGATGGGAAGGGGACTGAGGTCCAGATGAGTCCTAGATGAAGACCTTATTAGATTTGCAGGTTGTATTGGTTGGGGTTTGTACTTGGCTGCATATAATACAAACTCATCTGTAGTGATTTAACCAAATAAGAGTTTATTTGTTTCATGTAACAAGAAGTCTGAATGCAGACTTTCCAGGGTATTCTACAATAACTCAACAATACCATCAAGAAACTCAAATCTTTTGATCTGTCTTTCGTAATGTATGTCTTTTATCCTCCTAGCCACAAAATAGTTTCCTCTTTCAGACATTACATTGTGTTCCAGGCAGGAAGAAGGGAAAGAATGAAGAGTGAAAAACAGAAGGTCTCCTTGCTGGGCTTTGCTTTTGTTAAGGAAGGGGCACTATCAAAACTTCCCTTACATTTCATTAACCACAACATGGTCACATGGCCATACTTAGCTGCAAGGGAGTATGAAGAATATTTTAACTGGACTATTAGTCACCATTTAGAAAATCAGTGTTCTCTTTGTGATAGAGAAGGGTAAAACAAATGTTGGGTACGCAACTGGCAATATTTGATACAGAGTTCCATAGTATCTCAGTGAGATCCACATTGAACGGAAGAGTTGACAGCTGAATTTGGTAGTCTACTTCCAAGATAGTGGAGAAAGCCAAAACTGCCATCATCATAGCAATGGAGAAAAGCATGGCTTATCATTTGTCCAAGTCATACAATATGAAAACAGTAGAATTGACCAACACCTGTAGGTCTCCCAGGTACAAAGACCTCATTGTCTGGTGGTAAAGAAAACAGGAACCAAATGATAAGTTGTCAAACAGTAACCTTGACCAAGTCCTTTGCTAAGAGATTTAAATAATCAATGGATTTCTCTGTATATATTGTTATTGTTAAAGAGCCAAATTCTTTTTTATTTTTAGATACCTGCATAAGTATAAACATTAGGTAGCATCATGTTTACCCTTCTATTAACTGTATGATTCATTTGAATGTAGAGTTTATGGGAGCCATTGGTAATGACCAGTTAAGAATGTTTGGTTCTTTTTGTAATTCTGGAGAAGAGATTTAAAAAACAAACAAACAAATTTTAAAAAGCATGGCGGTCATATTTAAGCTAATAAAGGAATTTGAATAGAAAACTGAATAGTAAAAGAGAACCAGGTTTTCATTCAAGATGGCGACGCAAGGAACTCACCTTGTTCCAAGAAAACAACAAATATACACTATAGAAGAAGCATCTTCCTGTGAAAAAAACACCAAAACACTGGCTGAGAGAGAGACTCCTAACCATTAGGTAGCAGATGCTGGGACACAATCTCACCATGAACACTCCATTCAGTGTAGCAGCACGTGGTCGGCAGTGAAGCCCAAATGTGGAGCTTCTCCTTAGGAACAAAGGGTTTGAACCCGACTTTGTGCACCTCGATCTTTTAAGTCCTGCACTTGAGGGATGGGCCTGGAAAACAATTAGCTTTGAGACCCATAGCTACAACAATCCGACAAACAGCTGCTTAAGTGCTCCGCTTGTGTGGGATTCCGCCGCCTGAGGGCCCAGCGCAGAAGCACTCGAGGAGGTGCTCACGGAGGTGCTCCCGGAGTTTGTGTGGGAGAGGAGACTTTGGGGGACTTGGAGCTTTGCCCTGGGGAATAGGCGTCTAATGGTCATATGTTTGGGGGCCTGCTGGGTGCTCTTGCGAACAGAAACTGGCAGTGCCAGCTTTGGGCTTTCCCTCGGCCGCTCCAGAAAGCCAGTCCCAGACAGGAGCTTCTACAATACCTCTGGTGCCCCGCCCAGGGGGTGGCCCGTCCAGGGGGTGCCCGTGGATCTCCAGGCCCTGGTGGCCAGGGGGGACTTGTGTTCCTGTTTCTTGGTACTGAAACAATCGGAGAGAGGGTTCATGGCAGGCCGCGACCCCAGGCCACGGTACGGACAGCAGACTAAAACACACCCTGGTCTGTCTGTGGAAGAGGCCTATTTACTTGTCCTGCCGCTTCGGCCTGAGGGGCTGGCTTCAGGTTTGGGACATCTTCGGGCCTACAGTCGGATGGACCGTCAGGGAACATTGGCCACTGTACGACAGCTCGGCGCTCTCCCTCGGCTTCGCTACAGCCCCTTACTATCTCCCAGACAAGGCTTTATAACTAGGGGTGCGGCCCGAGTTTTGGGACGGCTGCCCAGGGGATGCCTCTAGATTGACCGACACTGTGGCCAGTGGGACTAATGCTTGCCTTCTCATAGGACAGTACATATTTGCATACTTTAAAAACTGCTGCCTGAGGATCTGGCTTCCAGTTAGCCTGAATCTAGGTGCTGACTGAGACCTTGCCCTTTGGGACAATGACAGGTGTTGGCACATCTTTGCCTATTGGGAGCCATTAAAAAGAAAATGGGTTATTTAGACAAATGCAAAGATTTGAGAGGCAGTCAAGAGCTAGGGGCAAAGTGAACGGATAGAGTTCATCTCCTGCAGGAGGCCACTCCTTCAAGACAGGGAAGGTGGCTCTTCTATCTCGTGCCCAGAAATCAACAGAGTCAAGCAAAATGAGGAAGCAAAGGAATATGTCCCAAACCAGTAAAGAACCAAAACCTCAGGGGTCGGGGTAGGCGAGGAAGCCTTAATGAAAACTGCCAAAGGGATACTCATTAATAATTTACTAAGCACTCGTATCCTTATCACATTGAAACATAGGATGACATAGTTTAAGATAGGTTTTGGAAGGTCCCCTCCCCCCGTCCAAAATGATATACCCAACTGGCACTGTGCTTTACAATTCCATCATTGAAAATATATTGTTTTGGCCTTTTCCTTTACATCTTTGGGATTTTTTAAAAAAATAAATGGCTCTAGAGGAGGAGGAGTAGTTGTAGTAATAATACTAAGTAATTTTACATTGTTTTGACTTGACTTTTAGCCTAAAGGAAAC